ACAGCCAGCTGACGAGTCCGAATAGGACGAAACGCGCATCCTAGAATCCACTGCCAGCCACTATCCATAACTAATATATCATTAAAACAAAGGTAATATCAAGGCATCCTCGCAGGGGCCCTATACGCTAATCGAGACCGATGAATTCTGTCCAGTCAACGATGGGATAATACAAGCAACAACACTAAGGAAAGCTTTGCTGACACATGGAGCCTCATAAGCAAACCGTTGACAGAAATTTTGATGTATGGCAGGCCTCGAACTAAAAGCTACTGAATTACAGGTCAATAAGTCAGTTGATCATGCTAACAAAAGTGGTTTAACTTATCCTGCCTACTTACTTATCATTATGACAACCAGCTTAGACCATCTGACAAAAGACGTGAAGTTAAAATTTGTAAAGTGATTGGTATTCTTTGCTCAGAAGTAGTAAGAAACTTGAAGACTACTGGTTTGAAGCATCTCATAATTCTCGGTTTATGCCAACTTGAACCACTATCTCCAAATAAACCATCCACACCTTTTACACGTTATCAAATACACTTCAGAAGGCTGACCTCGTTGACTAATACATGTAATAGTTCAATTCCTTTTATTACATAATTATTTACTTAATTTGACAAAGCTTAACAGAAAGTACCAGTGGGAAGATGTTTCTGATTTGGACAAAAAAAACTAGCAGCGGATATCAAACAGACAGACAAGATCCACGTAGAACCTCTCACACAAATATGTCGGTTCAAGTTACCACAATTCAAAGTAGTAAACAAAGAACAAGTGGATAGAAAAAGAGTGATATCAGAAGTTGTGTGAGAGAATAAACAATCTGAAGATAGCGACTAATGCAAATATTCTAGCTGTAGAAGATATCAAGGAGTGAATACATCTGCACCATTGTCACTGATTTCCAGTCATGTTACCAAGAGTTCTCAACCACTGATTCCTTTCGTCTCGAGAACCCTGACTAGGTAGTCTACATTTCCTCACATGGCTCAGACTAGGAGTTAGGAACTCCATCGACTGGTGCTGGGTCTTGGTCGGGTCACCCTGAACCCTCTTCCAACTCAACCCAACTTCTCCTAGAATAGTGCATTGACGTAGGTGGTGAGTCTCCATGCACAGTACATATCCAAGTAGCCTTAATCAACCAAGGTTCACAGCCTCATCAATCGACTTGTGTATCTTTCCTGGTACCCTTCGCCTGACTTCGGTGCTTCGAAGACATCTGTGATAACTGTATTTTGGTTTGATATAATAAGAATCGGTTAGAGAATCCATCAGATGAAGTGTGTAGGTGTTTGTATACAAAAAAGTTAGTTAAGAAACAGCCTATTTTTTGCTTCAACAAGCAAATGAAAATATAGTAATCTTTCATAGTAATTGGCAAAACCTGACATAAAATAAAGTACACAAGTATACTTATTATGAAGTAGATAGTTTATAAACTAACATAACTGAAACTAAACTATTAAGGTATCACTTCATTGGTGATGTAGAAAAGTTGTTCACTCAACATATTTCGCCTACTAGACAGAACTAATAGTTATATTCAACAAATCCTTACCAACCGCTGATAATCTTTTTGTGTCATTCAAAGATGATGAATGAACCTGATAGAAAAGCTAAATTTTGAACATATTCATACCAGAAGCCCCTGAATCACTAATTATTGAAATACGACATCCAAACGCCAATCACATCTCAGTGTCGCTTCAACCAACCATTAGTTTGCCAAGTTACTTTGTAAACTATATTATTTATAGTGGATAACAGCTGACTGAAGTACCTTAATTAGTGTTAACTGCCTTCACAACTCTGTCAGCACTCAAGTTCACTCAAATCACTATCCACTCTCCATATACTTACCTTTTAATAATCCTTCACGCCTCTCAGTCAATATTCCTACACTCTCTTTAATTTCTTCCAGTTCTGCAGCCCTTGATGACAATCTAAGTTCATAAAATCGCACATCTAATCTCTTGAAATTCCACTGAAAGCTACATATTGGGGCTTCCAATGTCCACCCCTCCGTCAGACCAACTAACACGTTTTCCTAGCCAAAACTCTGGTATCTTGGTCTATAGATATTTGCTGTTTCCGATATGCATAGAAGACCGAAGTGAGGTTATTTAGTTAAACACACATTACAGTGAGTCCGCGAAATCCACCTAGGGAGTTTCTGCAGATTCGACGGCTATTTCTCGCCATCTTGCAGTTGTAGATAAAGCTTTGAGAAGCAAGGCACAAAGTTCACTACGCGACTGAATTCCAGCTGACAATCATGCATGCACTGTTCGACTGAACGGTAAAATGAAGAATAAAAGGAATCATGGAACTCCCCGTCGTCTCTATTTACATACCCACCGACTACAACTCCGAAGAATTGGGGAGTGAGTTCTACCGAAAATTATCTAGCCGCCAACTGCAACCCAAACGTTCAGACATCGTGGTTTCTGCAGGTGATTTCAATGCGCAAACGTTTCGCCAAGTCAGATAGAAAAACACTTAGGTGACACTTTCGGAATCCCAACCGAACGAACAGATCGCGGCCGTTGCCTGCTACAACTTTACTCCAGAACAATCTATTTCTGGCCAGCACGAACTTTAGATATAAGGAGAGAAGTTTTCTGACTTGGCAGTCACCAATCTCAACTCAGTGGTAAAAACGGACAGACCATATTTCTATCAGCTATCACTGGAGAGTGCTGGTGGAAGATTGTTGTTCCTTCAGTAGAACGAGTTTGCACTGATTCCAGCACGGTTATATCTGCACCTGAATTAACATGGGAAAACTACAGCAGCAAGAACATTGTGAATGCTGCTTGATGATGAGAATACTATGGCTGTTTTTAGCAAGCAGCTAGACGGTTGTCTGTATACAGCAACATCAGTCAACCAGAGAAATCCTGATAACACCTCTGGTCTACTATAAAAACAGCGCTGAAGACCGGAGCTGAGTCTGACTGAGTGATTCCGAAAGACCGGCGGATTTCAGCAGCTTCTTCTGAATTTATGGATGTGCGCGAAAGCACTACTGCGGACTTCGAGCACCATGAGAAGCCAAAGAAACTCAGATGTAAATTGACAGTAAATCTACGCTATGACCGTGAACAGTGGTGGGTAGCATAGGCTTAAGAAACGGGAAAAGCAGTCGATGGAGAAGAACGGGTTGGTAATCCACTCTCAGGGGAGACGACTGGAACACTTCGAGGAACAGTTGAATTAGCCCTCAGCTACTACTCCGTTGCCCGTTATCCTGTCGGATCCTGCGTGTAACATCAAGGTGAGGTGTACATCTTTCCAGAAATGAAAAAGCTGTAAGTATTGTGAAACAAGAAAAGGAAGTAGGACCAGGCTGACTGCTAACAGAGGTACTTAAGTACGAGGCTTGCGCATTATTGACAAGGTTAGCTGAAGTGTTGGCTAGTGTGTGCGAACACTGATTATCCCAGTCTTCAAGAAGGACGAGGAATCAACGTGTGACAACCACAGCGGAATCAGCCTGATGAAGTATCTAAAACCCTACGTTCTATAATCACTAGGTATTTGGGTGAAGCAGTGCCCTGGCTAACAATAGAGAAAGTAGTTATTTCTGTTGACCATTTCACTCACCTGGGAAGTCAGATCAGCAATGATGGGTCACTGGTCGACGAAACCTCTGCATGGATACAAAGAGCTCCGTTGGCTTTCGCCAAATTACACCGCAGCGATATCCAACTGTCTATCAAGTGCTGATTGTACTGCTTCGCAGTTCGCTCTGTTCTACTATATGGTTGTGAAACATGGCGATTACAGATGGAGGACAAGAGAAGGTTTCAGGTATTCGAAGCATAGGCCATGCGAGTATAGTGACATCACCTCATGCGTAACGTATAAGTCAGGTGTAGAGTTCTAGGGAGCAGAAGAAAATCAGTCATTGATATTGTGAACCTTTATCAACTCAGGCGGCTGAAACATGGGAAGTCCCCGTCTTCCTCGTCGCATAATGTAAGCTGATATAGATTCAGGCTGGAAAAGGGTTAGAGGTGGACAGATTAAAACATAACACTAATTCATCAAGTCTTTCGTTTCTGGTCTCATCCGTGTACACTTCCTGGATAGGTTTCATATGACTGCAGAAACCAGTGATATGGCTCAGAATCTATCTCATGGGCCCAGATGTATCTACACTTTATTACACTATGTTAGTCGTAGTAGTGAATTTAGGATTTCTTGATTCCTCCTTCCTTTCATTTCACTACTTTCTATCACTTTTCATTGCCGTTTTTTTATTTCTTTACCTTCCATCTTATTAATTTGTTACTTGAGATGCTGATATGAAGTGTGGCGAATCGGGCCGTTATGCAGTAATTCCAGGTCTTATATTGACTTTATCTATCTGCCTGCTCAACCAGTAAGCACCTCACCGGTAATCATGAGATTGTGGTCTTGAATCTTGACTTCCTGCTAATTTGAACTATTACCCAAGATGAAAATCAGTCTTTTGATTGAGATTATCCGAGGTAGTCTAATTAATAGTTTTCTTCATTTATTCTTTGGAGGTGTGAATAAGTGAGAAGGTGAACAATCAATCAAAAACAAGTTTGTGTAACGTACCGTATGAGTGACACAAAACCAACCCGTAGGGTTGATCCTACTAGATTCCTTTCCCATACCGCAATTATAGTCTTGCCGATAAAAATTGATCATCTTGAACATAACTTTTCCTACTCTGATCCAAATATTTCAGTTATTTACTATTCAAATTTACACATTTCGAAGTGTAACTGAAACCGAAACAGGATGAAACGCACACCATAGATCCTACTGCTAACCACTTCCTCATCGTTATCATCATAATGAAGTTACCGATAGTATCGAAGCATCCACCGAGGAATCCATATAGTAGTGGTGATCAATCATTTCAGTTCAACCAATGATAGGTGACTTCAAGCTATAAAATTAAACAATATTTTTATCTAAATGAATCCATTTTTCACCAAAAAATATCTATTTTCCAGATTCCACCTGGAAACTGTCTATATCTACAGAAAAATCAGCTCAAAATTGTGAAATCTATCTAGTTGTTTATGGAACAGGTGGCAGTTCTGGTTCAATACTGATCGGGAGATCGAATGATGACAATGGATTATTTAAAACAAACAGAATTGATAATTTTATGGTAAGTAGCACAATAAAAGAACCGATTGAGTTTTCGTATTTGATTCCTATGGCGATGATGCATTTCAATTGTTGACCTGCTACACTCTGACCAGATCAATTAAGTGAAGGCCGTTTTTAAATAAATAAATAAATCTGTCTAGTGAACTGCTAACCCAGAAATATACATTTAAATCACATTTACAGAAATGACTAATTCATGGGACAGCTTAGTTTTTGAGTAACTTGTTGTTGAGGGAACTGGATGAAGCTATGAGTAACTACGAGTGGTCTTGAAGGTCTATACCAACAGTGGCAGTGTATGAAAATTAAAAGTCACTTGCATACATCTTATGCGCCAATGGATAACACTTTGACAAACTATTCTTATAGGGGAGAATATTTTTAGCCCAGGCGGATGGTCTTCATACTAAATTAAGTGCTGATGGTGTCGTCTAGAAAGACGATGAAAGCTTAACGACTAAACAACCCAGCTCAGAGAACACAATACAACCAAAACTACTCTTATTTAACTAACCATGTGACTTGTACACTTTGAATGGGTTTACAAATGATATATAATAAGAGGAATTCACTTTCCACAACGGCTTGAGCATATTTTAAACTTCCCATTCTCATGCAAAGCGCTATTGTTTGATGGTGGAACCAAATTAGAGGATAGTGACGTGATGGTTATATTTTGCCTAATTAGGGATTAAAAAAGTAGCATAGAATTACCATGTTTTAGGGCCTCATAAACATCTGCATAATATACAAAAGATTTCACCCTGTTATTTTTCAATAACTCATCTAATGTAACTTTATTTTGTTTGGTGCATTGGCTGCTTGGTAAAGTTCTTATTTCAGGCTTAAGTCTAGTATGGTTAACAATGGGATTGGTGATTTGTTGAGCAGCGCATCGTACTAACCTCAACTTTGTACATTACACACATAAAACCAAGTGTATATATTTCGATAAATGTCAATTTAAAACTGTGTATACAGAATCATACTCAAAGTAGTCAAGCAGTCAGTCAAAACTGCGTAAATCTGAATCCAAGAGACAGGAAATACCTGACGGCAACTTACACAAAGGACTGTAAGCAGTGTAAAGACACGTTAATTAATGGTGTCGACTGTGTGCCAGGTAAACTTGTTTGCCTTTTAACTCCAAGTGAAAGATGAATCTGTAAGCCTAAGTCTAATGTGTAGTCACTGAAATAAAGACTTTGAGAAGGAGAGAGTGGAAGGGAAGAGAGGCAGGGTAAGGCACAGAAATAGTAATGCAAGTGATTGATGATTACAATGAAGTAATCACATAGAATCAAGATTTTATCACCAGTTATGAGAGAAGCAAGTTACAAAGTTATCAGTTATAATTTAGACCCCACTGATAATGTTGGCTAGTAAGGTGTTAATCATAGTGTAAACTTATGAAAGTGAAGTAGTTAGGTGTACTTTTCATCTTCACTACCTCCTCTATGAACAGCAAACACAGGCATTCAACTGTAGGTGGACATATTGTGACTAAATATCAGGAAAACGGAGAATAAATGGTATTATAATGAACTTCATATATTTAGGCTTGTAATTTCTTCATTGTTGATTGGACTGAATTGGTCGGCCATTACTGGGATATGGGCTTTTGTGCGGACGCCTCGATGTAGCCACTAAATGTGAAACCGGTGTAGTATAGTTTAGATACTGTGCAGTATTAATACACTTTATTGCTTATGGGATCAAATAGTATCCGAGAAGAAAAGAAAATGTTTTTCTTCGCTAAAATCACGTCTTGTCTTTTCCTAGGATACGATATTACAACGATTTTACCAGCCCAAGCTGATAATTTTAGTAGCCTGTGCAACTAGTGACTCAGAAGCATTGCAGCGTGACAGTAAGTAAAATCCTTGGGATTTCTTACACTCGTAACATAGATGGAAGAAGATTCATGTGTTGCAGGTCTGAGAATTAAGAATACTTTATATTGACTGAACTTTATATCATTCACATAAGTACCCATTTACCACTAAATCAGTTAAAAGTTGTGAAACAATTGAGCTCGGTGGTGAGGCCAGTAAATATCAAGGATGTGAATGAATGTTACAACAAATAAAATACCTCAATATTTGACCAAAAGGTGGCAGTATATAAGTTTTCATTTTGAGGCAAACATCCAACACAATGTATACATTTCATACAATACATTCTCTGACCATCCTTGTCACAGAATACTGATGGCTTTGAAGCTGTTATCAAGGTTCATACATTCTTAATTGACAAGCTTCTGTAAATCTTGAGGATGGATAGTTTAAACTTTGTTTCCATCCCACAGTAAATAATTACAAAAGCTTCGGTGATTGCGCTGAGTGTCTGTATTATTAGTGCTTTGATGGTGGAATGTATGTAGCTGTGAACTCAAGTTATATGCTTTTGACATCCATCAGAGCTGCGTACTCGCAATCTAGGAAAAAATATTGTTTCTCATAAATTTAAACCAAAAGCATATTCCCACTCAGGCACTGAAGATGTAACAAACCAGATTGCAGAGACAGGTGGAGTCCTACTAATTCTGTTGTCGAATTTCACGTACCAATCATAGTCTATTGATCAAGGAATTCAGCGAAGCCAATAGACTAAGTGATATCAAAATCTTGGTACACTTATGTTGATGATCTATGTTTTAAGCTAACTAGTATATGCGGTGAAGATTTCATATTTATCCCAAAAACTGTATGCACAAAAACTCTTGGTATTATCGGTTATCATATACATTGAATTTTCCTTAGATCTTACTGGAAAATATTGGCTCAATTTACAAAATACGTTTAGAAGTGAACCCGATCAATCAAGGTGTTGATAGTGAGTGGGAAGTGGATAAGGTGAGTCTGAACACAAGTGTACATTATTGCATCTTGTTTATATGAGGCTATTCTCAGTGAAGTGATGGGAAAACTGATAGCTTGATATGATCAGTTAGCAATAATATAAAATGCTAAGTTTGCTTCATGTTTATATTGATTACAGACTAATAGTATTCTCGCCAGTCAGCATGTTTATGTTCATTTATAGACTGTGCCCTTACAGTATGAGTGTTTTCCAAGCTTCGGCAGAAGATTACACAGGCGATGCTTTCGATATCACTCTCGGTATTATCCTTAATACAGTTTGACAATAAAGTGATGTAAAATATTCCAAAATAATGTTGTTACTTGTATTATCCCGTCACAAAAGAAGTGACTATCATGACTCAGTGGCTTAGCGAATAACGCTCTAGCATTCAAAGCGATCGGTCCCGGGGTTCGAACCTTGGTGGGAAAAACAAAGTTCACTGGCAGGTAGGTACATCCAGCTGACGACTCCTAAATAGGACAAAACCCGCATTCTGGAGTCCTCTGCTAGTCACTACCCATCAATAATGTTCCAAAATAATGTTTTTAAAAAAACTCACACGAAATTGAACAGGTCCAGTTTTCACACACTAAAATGTGTTCAAGAAAAAATAAAAGTAGAACAATATATTCGAATGAAAAACCTGAATAAGTGAACTTGTCAAACTACTGAAACTATATAACTCCTAATATTTAAAAAAAAACTATCGGTACAAGCCAGATGTGTAGCACAAGTTAACATTTGATGGATGGGATACAACATGCATTCCGAACACAGTTTCCTGAAGTTATTAATTTGTCTAATGAATACACAACTGTCTTGCCAGAACAATACAAAAGTAATATTCAGTGCATATTATTGGTTCTGAATATTGTCAGGTCTCTTTAGGACTTAATTGGTTTGGCCTTACCATGTATGAGCTGATTTAAGAACAAATGAAATAGCATTCAACCATTTTGATCACTTCAATTTAGCTGAAAAATGTTACTAATTATCAGGGACAGTTTTAAACAACTCCAGCTAATAGCACATACAATGCATTATCAATGTCAATGGTTGTGTCAAACAGATCACACTTTGGTTTTTCAAAAAAACTACGATTTTATCTCTGTATTATTTTAAAGACTTGTATATTTGCTTTCAGTCAGAAAGAAAAAAGAAAGACTTTAGTGAACAAATTTGTTTCAATGATATCACTCTCAGAAGCTGTACAATCGCATTTTAAATGCAGTTGCTGTGGATATTTATCTCTGAAAAGTGTCAATATTTGTCGGTCCATAATTCTTAGTACGTTGTGGTTAGGTAAACAATATCAAGGTGGAAGAAATAACATAAGAAACAAGAAAATATCTTACTTATTGGTCTGACGAGATTGAGTGAGAACCATTGAACACTTGGGAGTACTAAACAGCTGTCTCATCCTCATTTGTTACACTTCGTGAAGTCACAAGTACACACTGCCGAGACGTTGTATACTGGGGTGAAACAGCTGTAATTCTCCAACTGGCGTCAATTGTGATGAAAACTACTTTCAGAAAAAACCACTTTCACAAAGTGAATCTGAAAGTGCAAAATGAAATCGACAATTTCTTACAAAGACTGTTACAAAGTAAGTAAATTGACTGACTGACAAAATCAACGTGGAACCCGCATACAAATGCATCGGCTCAAGCTGCCACACTTCAAAGAAGTAAACGAAGAACAAGTGGATAGAAAGGGAACAAAATCAAAGTAGATGAGGTTGTGTAGGAGAATAAACAATCTGAAGATTGCGATTAATGCAAATATTCTAGCTGTAGAAGATATCAAGGAGTGAATACATCTGCACCATTGTCACTGATTTCCAGTCATGTTACCAAGAGTTTTCAATCACTGATTCTTTACGTCTAATATACATTTCCTCACATGGCTCAGACTAGGAGTTGGGAACTCCATCGACTGGTGCTGGGTCTTGGTCGGGTCACCCTGAACCCTCATCCAACCCAATCCAACTTCTCCTAGAATAGTGCATTGAGGTAGGTACTCGTTCGGCATGCGCAGTACATATCCAAGCTACTTTAGTCAACTAAGGTTGACAACTTCATCGATCGACTTGCGTATCTTTCCTAGTACCCTACATGTGACCTCAGTATTGATCACATGCTGGTGATTTCACCAAGAGCGAGCAATGCTGCGAAGACATCTATGATCAAAACCGTGCAAACACTCCATGTTATCTACTTTCAACGGCCGTGTCTCTCAGTCGTGTAACAAAAAAGTGGGCAAACAGTTATCGGTTTGAGTAGAATGAGAAATTAGTAACTGAGCTAAACATTTGGGAGCACTGGACGGCTATTCCATCCTAATATGGGATTCCTCAGCAGTGCATGCTCATGACTAAGACGAAATAGCTGTCCAGTGCTTACAGGTTTTCAATGGTTCTCCAACTGACATCAGTCCATGATGAATACCAACCTGAAATCAACAAAAACGTTAACCAGAGTCATGTATCCAGAAATAACTTTGCTATCCACTTTTCTGGTTGCCTTCCTTAGCGTTTTTAATGTGTATTTTGTTGTTATACAAGCGTTTTTAGCTCTATCACTAATTAATTGCTCATTCTTTCTTCACAGCGACAAATGCTTACTCACTTTGTTACGAATTCTTTTATTCTTGGTTTAAGCTTGAAATTACTCATTCGTGCCTCTTTTTGTAACTCACATTCTTATATTTTATCTTTCTAGATAAACATACAACCTTTTAGAAATTACTGATCTACAAATACTAACATCTTTTGATCAACAAACATGCAAACTAATTACATCTAAATGTGATTATGCAGCTTCAGAAAACGATATCACTGAAAACAAACTGATTGAATTATTTGAATACTAATCATAGTGTATTGAATGATTTCACACATAATCCTGTATGAAAAATATTTCGCAGTGCTAATTGTCCACTTTAGACAGTTATTTTTATGACAGTAAAACAAGATTTCAATGAGGTAAATAGTCTTAAGGAAAGATTCGGTTAAGGTTACATAGGCATCGAACGTATCTTGTCCTTTTTTATAGGTGTGTGTGTACATAACTGTGAAATATATTTTGTTAGTCGACAAGCTTTAAAACTGTAAACGTTATGAACCGCAATTTTACCTTGTCAAACAAAGCCCATTGTTGGCAGATCAAAATCATATGGAAAATCTTGCACGTAGGATTAGTTCACTTGACAAAACAGATTTTCATTGGTGATTTTGATGAACACATCATTACCTCGTTGACTAATCCACAATATCTTAATCCAGTCACGTTTTACTCTAATTCATGAAAAGTGGAGATTTACCATTATCTTAAGAATAGAAAGGCTAACTATGTAGACATACTGACTATAGCAACATTGACTGAAGGTAAGTTGAAAACATGAATCGCAGCAGAATTCAAATTAGCAGCTACTTGTAAGTAGTTTGAATTTCACAGCCAAATTTTCACCGTGATAGTAGAAAATTCGAAAATCTCCCACAGCCATATGGTCACATTTTTATCGTCTAATTATTGATTTACCTGGTTGATTTCCAGTTGACTGATCCTTTCTAAGTATTCCGTAAATTGGGTCAATATCCACTAGTTGCACTTTGATGGCAGTACCATGCTTCCCGGAATTTACCTGCAATTTATGGGATCCCATGTCTGATTATTTCCCCATTGTCCCAATCGAAGTTGTGTTTATCTACATACATCGATAAAAATGGTCACATTTCATGTCGTTTTACTGCTAGGTGATGCTAATAAACTACTTAGGGTATTCGACGAATAGACTGACCAATTTAGTTATGTCGCATATCTCTGACGCTTATTCTATAGATTTTATTTTTACCGTCTTCTTTAGGTAACAGATCTTTCAGCTTACAAATAACTTTTGGCATGGATCTGCTTAAGTTTCATTTTCTGTTAGCCTAAAAAGTTTGCATTATAACAGTTGTCAACAATCACAATATTTACAGTCAATACAAGTATGGACTGCCGAAAGAGTAAACCGGAAAATTAAGAAACAGTCCTACCTTAATACTGTTGCTTATCGATGGTGAGGAAATTCAGAGGTATAGTCAAGATGAAAATGTTTGGTCGGATATATGAAAGTTGCCGAACATAAAGTATGAGACAGTTTCGATTAAGATGATGATAAGAGCCGATAGTAGTAGTGTGAGTAGTAGCGATGATGTGATACAGTTAACTTATCATATATTATGTCAACATGATTCACTTCTTAGTACACAAAGATCCAATGAATGCATAACTACTTGTTCTTCATGATAGGAGCTATGCACCCACGTTATTGCACCACTCAGTGAAATCACGTTATTGATTGATTACTGGTTGGACTCTATGAGACAATCGTTATCAGACGAATATTCATACAAACTAAGGTGATGATTGAAGTTGAGTGAAAATAAAGGCCATGGTATGGTGCATATGAAGAAACACAAGGTTGCCAGCCATCGGTTTAGTCTTGTATTTCAGCTGAGAAATCGGCAGGTGGCTAATGTAAAGACAGCTGATTTCTTTTTCCTGCCCGACTATGGTGTCAACAGAGTTTTCGCCGGAAACCACTCAGCCAATATCACAAGGTGTGATCTTTGGCAAAAATCCATCATGAAATAGCAAAAAATACTATTACTGAACAACTTGAGTAATTAGAAACCACTCGGGCTGGTCTGTATTATTTCTCCAGCCAGATCACAGTGATATAACTACAGGGCGGAAACGCTTTAAGGTGAATTTGCTTCTCAGTTTCAGAAGTCGATTTTTCGTAGACTGAACATAAATGCATTTTTTAGGCATGTGCTTTGTCCCATCCTGGATCTACACTCAAAACATGCCAATACACTACGTTTCCTTTCTACTTACGCTAATATTTATTTCAATGAATTTCCCTTTCAGAGTGAACAGAATTAAATTTAACCTTGAATCGTAACTGTTCATAACTGTTAAATTCATAGTCATTCATGATAATTTATTTCGAAAAAACTGAGTTTCGATTTTGACCACATATAAGAAATATTATCACCTACATAAGTATTTACTACTTCTAATACACTATCCTGACATTCCTTCCTACATAAGCTTCTTCTGATGAGACTCGTTGAGCTACTTAACATAAACGACTTACTGTTGCAAAAAGAAATGTCATAGTTGTTAACAATCACTTACTCTTCGAAAAGTTCCCGAAAGAATATCCCTCGTGCACTGAAGCGTGTTTTCGAGATGTTTTTGTAGTCATGAACTGAAGTCATTTCGATAACTAATGAAAGCTTGGTAGCGCTGGATAGACATAGCATCCCACTTCAATGATATAGGGAGTGAAGTGGTGAAATGTGTCGACTGCTTCACTTACTTTGGGAGTCGCATCAGCTCAAACGGGCTGCTTGCTGATGAATTTTCAGCTCGCATACAGAAGGCTCATTTGGCACTTACCAACTTGTGTCATCTGTGGCGCCGACTGACAAGATATCCGAATATCTGTCTGGGAAAGGATGAGTAAACTACGCTGCAGTCCATTCGATCCTGTTATGCTGCTGAGAGATATGACCGTTGCAAGTAGAAGACATGAAGCGATTACAGGGTTTTGAATACAAGTGTCTTCATACCATTTCTCACGTATGGTGGAATCACCACCATTTGAGCAATGCTGAAGTCAGGGAAGGGGTACTGGGCAAGCCGGTTGATGAGGTTGTGAATCTTCAGAGACTAAAATGGCTTGGACATACACTGACCATGCTGAGCCACCATCCACCTTGACGTACAATGCTGAGGGAAGTTGGACTAGGTTAGACGAGGGTTCAGGGTGACCAGACCAAGATCCAGCAGCAACCCATGAAGTCTCTCACTGTTGGGTTGAGTTGTGTGGGTAGTTGTAGACTGCCTAGTTAAGGCCCCCGAGACGAAAATAATCAGTGATTGAAGACTATTGGTGACATCTTCTACAGCAGGAATATTTGCACTAGTCGTTATCTTCAGACTTTATTCTCTCATACAACTTTGATATCACTCTTTTTCTATCCAACTTTTCTTTGTATACTACTTTGAAATGTAGCAACTTGGGCTGATGCACTTATGTGAGAGGTTCGGTGTTGATTTTTTTTGTCCCAATTCGGAACTCCACTAGTGTTGCGTGCCTCCAACGACAAAGGTCTATCACTTGTCTTCCTAAACGTATTACCGACTGACCACTGGGGGATAACTGAGTTGTTATAGTTTTTATTTCTGTAAATTTCTCAGGTATTGAGACTAAGTTTTTCTTACCTCCTCTCATTCTAATACCAAGGTCATATTGGAAAACGTAAAGACTTCAAAAAAGTTAATATACGACTTTTCTGGTCGACCATTTGGAAGTAACATCAATTTCAATTATTTATCTCGAGAACAAGTTTCAGCTTTTTCGAATCTAACTAATACCAGTTCATTAACAACAAAACAACAGTCAGAAAGTGAATTGAAACTTTGTCTTTTAAACTATCGTATACAAATGGAATTATATTACGATGTATCCAATGCAGGCGATTCATCAGATATATCTGTGGAACCCTATCTTTGCTTGATTGGACAATACGGAGATTGTGGTCGTCATTCGATGGGTCAGATTACATGTAAACAGTTAGTTAGTGGAGAAAAGAAAAACGTATGGGTGAGTTTTTCTCCTACATAGCTTTAACTTTTGACTGACTAACTGGCCTAACACGGACACTAGTAGTTCGGAATATCAGCATAGCTACCATTTAGATCAGCTAGTCAACTATCCTAAGAATTTTGAGGCACATATTTTGCTTTCTCATTTTCAGTATTCTTTCCTACATCTATGTATTCCGCGCACTGCACTAAAAGTGGCCCATTACCATCATTATATTTATGATGGTTGAAATAAGTGACGTAAGAACTTGAAAAGTATCTTGCTGATCAACAGACGCCAGAATTACCAAAACGTTTCACATCTGAATATATTATGTGCAACTCTTCATAATAATCAAAGGTGGCCAAATTACTATGTATAATAAAAAATCTAGCTAATCACAGATCAAGTAAAAACGATATCCTAGCCTAATCTTCAAACGTTTTAGTTATATTGTGCACATATATCGCTAAGAAAGTATTCTTTCTTGCTTAGTCAACCAAAGTGGAACACAGTCTCAAGTATCCACAATTCAATAGTAACGTCACTGGGTGATCCAGGCTCAGATTAGTTTCCTCTAGGTTGAGTACACGCTTTGTTGACGAGTGCCACTTAGCAACAAACCTAGGTTAGGCATGGCTTCATGCTGACTACCTCCAATCAACTAACATCCATCAAAGTGCGCCGCAACGCTGCACCTCCTAGCTCGGTTGCCACATTGCAAAATGTCCAACAGAATTTGGTAAGCGCTCAGGACTAGATATCATGAAATTGGTTGCTCTCTAGTGACTAATCAATATATATGGAAAAGTAGTATCCATAGGTCGGGTAAATCTGTTTTCCCCGCCTAAATTAGAAGTGCGGAGCAATCTCAATTAAAAATGGCATATATGCAGAATAAAGTCATTTATGTGGGGAAATGGTTTAACAGTTAACACCAAATTTAATTCCCTAATATGATACTTAGGTGTATTTTGAAAAAAAAAGAATTGAATGTCCCCTCGTAGATTACAGCATCCTTCTTTCAGATCCTAAACCCCGGGTTTAATTACCAAGTTGTCCAGTTAATATATGAGACCCTTCAGGACTGGAACACGCACCTAAACTGATCACCACATAGTAACTGACTTAACTATGATGATCTAAGTACTACATTCGATCCACCCCTGCTGAAATCTGGTTCACAAAAGTAGTTAACAACGTGAACTCAACATATGTACATTACTGTTTCGTCCATTCAGTCTTAATAGTAACTTCATGAGGTAAAGAAACAGAATCAGCAATGACTTTTCCACTTTACTCAACAGTCATCAATTAAATATACCTGCAGTTTAGTGGGCGCTTAAAATATTACCTTTATCCTCCTCCACCTTCGAATATTGCTATTCATAATACTTTATCCACTACCCGTCATATCTCGTCCATTCCTTCAGAAAAAAGTGGCACCCTAATAACAAGTGTGGACACATTGTTTCCCACATATTCGAATCGTGCGAATTCTGAAATGTATCTTTTTCCATGAATCCTCCATAATTCAACGTTAATATTTAAGTAAAACTGAAATCTCGACGGATATTTGGTTTTCATGGTTAATTTAAGAATCCATCTAAACGAAAATTTACCGGATTTTTTTTCCGTCGAATTAAATAGAAACGGCTTTTTTCTTAGCTTAATTATCACTCGAATGAAGCTCATACATTACAGTGGTAAAGTGAATACATAAACTTAATATTTTATGTTACAGACACTTCGGTGATAAATTCAATACTTATTTATTATGGGCTACTTTTCAGCCTAACTGTTGGGAATTTTAAATAAAAATGATAAATATATACTTATTATATGTTTAAGTTCCTATCTTTCATAGATATTTGATACAATGATTGAAGCTGCCTATCTTGGAGAAATTGACAGCTGTTATCTAGGTCCAGTCGATGTTGAAAATCAACCGGAATTGAAACGCACTGGAATGATGTGTACCAAAATATTGGTATGGGACACAACAAAAGAAGTGATTTATGAATTCCTTTCAGAAACGTAAGTCTTGACTCATGAAATGTATAACAACAACTGAGGGAATGGGTTTATTTTACAATGAAATTTGATATCCTAGCTTCATAGGAGGTTCAAGCATTCACAGCTTCATTAAACCGTTTTTCCTGCTAAAATCAAAATGAACTGAGTACTGTAATATATTGCTTATTTTATTAGTATTGATTAAGCACACGCAAAATGGATATTATACGAATGGTCAACACCAATCAGATGCTTTTTCAGTGGAAAATTACAACTGTAATGGCAGGATGAGAATAAGTTATTTTGAGGATTTTCAAGCATTGGCATCCGGACATACACGTCCCATAGCTGAACCAAGAGAATCTAAAAGTAATTTGTTCATAAAAAGCAAGCCACCCTTAAGTCAGACGAGTATCTAGACAGAATTTCGAACAAATTTAAGGGATACTGTGACGTCAGTCATGCATCATTTTCTTGTTGTCCACTGACCTCTCTGACACTTCAATTTTCTTAATAGTATGAATAGGGAATCCTATTACTATGTTGCTAATTTGACTGATCCACTTTAATAACCTCAGATACGTCCATCTCATCTTAAGTCATTTGCAAATCTGATCTGCTTAAATGCCGGCCAAGTTATTTCACGTGATGAATGACACACTACGAAGAGATCATTAAGACGCTTACTGAAGTTGTGGATTGCAGTATTTATGTACAGCTCAAAACGAATCATGGTTGTAGCTGCCAATAAATATGTAGTGAAGAATGAGTGTTGAAATATAATATCACTGTAAATACCCAGGCCTTTCCGATGACTGACCTAACTTACTTACCAATCCTGAACCCCCCTCCCAACTTGTTTTTAAGTTCATATTTGTCTTATTTCCTTCTGATGCTTAATCTTTTAGTCTGCATACAGTATTGCGTGATCATTAAACTAACTCATGTGCTATTGCTTTTTTTTGAACGTGAAAATTGAAATGTGATGGCTTTAAAAAACCGTCTCATTCGTGCATCAAAGTGATTTCATTTTGCGAATTGATAAACGCTAGGAAATGAAGTCGATTCAGTTATTACTAATTTTGAAAATATTCTTTTTACTTTAAGTTTCATAGTTGCTGAAATGACTTTTGGTGTGGGAGAATAATTCCTGTACATGACTCTTCTTATGACACGTTCTGCTATTATTATTTTTATTCCAAGTGAAATCTGTGTTTTCATCTTTTTATTCATGAGTTTTTGTAGTTTCTGCTGCTGTTTTTATTTGTTCATATACCTAAGAAGAAGATAAATTCGTTACTTTTTCAAAACTTGCGTAATCTGAATGCCACCTGCAGAAAGTTTGTCTCCTTCGGTACCAGTCCAGAAGTACATCACTCTCGACGGTAGTTGGTATAAAGGTGGACAAAGTACATTGAATAGTACTGTTTTGAAACCGAATAATGCTATTATTCAACATCGAAATACGGTACACCGCAATGTCACATTACTCCATTTAGTGGATACATGGTAAGACTTGATCGGCAGACTTCAATCAGTGATAAGCACTAGAGACCAGACGAACTACTACTGTGTTATACCGACCTGACTTTCCATAGCATCTTATATAACAGTGAGAAAAAGAAGGCAAATATTAACAGATGGTTGGGTACGGATGAAGATTTTCTACCGTGAAATTTCAATTAAGTTTATTACATTTAATTCTAAATAAAATATTAAACTTGTGAATATTTTTCAAGAATTTCGAATAACTAAGCGAAAACCCCTAAAAAATCCATTTCTGATCTAGGAAGTATCTGAGAGTTCACACTACTAAGATGTTAGAGATATCAGTGGTCTCCTGAACAGCTTCAGTTCGTTGTGCAAAGCACCATCAAGACATCCAAGTTTTCAACACTACCAACTGAGATTTAATGTTTTAGCATTAATAATAATGGCTTTATTCTGAAACATATTTCAGAAATACTGTACAGAACTCCCAACATGCCATATAGCATTAATTGAACAGAAACAGTGTACATGTATATATAGGGAAACCGAATAAGTAGGAATTACATATAGGAGAGTAAATATTCTTATTTACTCAGTCTACAACTTTCTTGAAAATGCAGAAGTAATTTAGGTAAACAGTTACATAACCGATTGCATTCATAACACTCCTAACAAACAAGCTATGTAATCTATAATTAGTTTGCTTTCAGAAACAAAAGTCGATTAGTTGGTTCATTTCTGACACTTTCTTCGTCGCACAGGATACGAGCTAAATACAGTAACTGAGTTCTTACATTGAGTAGTCAGTGTATAAAGTCTTATACACTTGTTCTTTGTTTTACCTGAGGACCGATATGTAGAGAGCTTTGAGTGAAGAGGATGCTGGTCATCAGAAAAAATAACTCCTGCCAGATGTTTACATGAGTTAAGATTTAGTTCTGCTGACAGTCTTCACAGTTCTATGCCACACAACATATTCTTTTTTCAGCAACCCAGGAAATAATAAAGGGGAAAAAGAGCGGAGAATAGGCAAGATGCAGGAGTACATAAAGCACAAGAGAAGAGGTTGAGTTACAACTTTCCGTTCCATAATATAGTATGTTAGGCGGAGAATTCTTTTGGAAATTAGTAAGATATGGGAGGACCAGGAAAGGTCCAAAGAAAAACAAACGTCGAGATAAATCACACTTGTAACACTCTCTAATACATAACCATTAATAGAACAGGAAGCATAATACTTAGACAGCTTACATAAGCTACGTATGCATCTGAAACTAAAGTTTATAGTCTGGATGGAGTAGGCCAGAAATGCACCTCAGATATGTGTCGTAATAAAAGGAATATTTTTTGCGAACATTGAAATATAAACTAGTCTAACAGTAAAAGCATTTGGCGTAGAGAGCATTACTGAATCCCTACAGGACCTTTGACTAAAATTTAATAGTCCTACAATTTTAGGCGTTTATCATGATTCCCAACGGATAATAAAGTCTCCAAATATCCATGTCAAATGGTCTTCGTTTTTACTCACTGCTAAGAGTACTACTTCACACTTTCCAAGTTTGATAACTTTTCTGTTTAATTGTTGCTTTTAGTCGAAATGAAATAAAGTATGAAATTTGCCTACACTATAACATACTTTCACCACTTATATATACTCTGACAACTAAAATACTAGAGTTTCCAAATATGACCTCTTCACTTAAGAGTCAACAAACTATATGGAGATTACTATATCTATAACTCTGAGACCTCTGGTGCTAATTGTGTTGAAACTAGGATTTTTTCAAACTATGGCTCATGGGTTTAGGGAGATGACTTTCAAGCAATAGGTAGCGGGTTCGAACGTTGCTCTACATGTCCAGATTTCGGTAGTCAGGTAGTATTAGCGGTCACACAATAGGTGTGGCTCACTGTCTAATGTACGAATATCCAAAGGGTTGCTGATTTCATTTCGATTCGCTATCATCCCCATACTAGAAGACCTGTTCGTCGAACAAAACTGTTCAAGGCAGTCTGACATATTGGTCGGTACTGTTTCGTTCTGCTTGACTGAGAACAACTTTGCCAGTCGATGTTAATTGAAATGAACACTTAAAAGACAAATAAATGTACTTTCTTGGCACAAGATTCTGCGTGCTTATTTTTATGTATAGGATGACAAATATCCAGATTTGGTTCAGCATAATTAAACTTATCATACTTCGGTGTCAAATTGTACACAAAACCATTGGATGTTTTTTCACATCAAAATTTCATATGATAGAAATCTTATTGTTTTGTTTAGAATAGTGTTTGTTGGCTAAAGCGAACTTAAGGTTTCGGAAAAGAAAGATCAAGAACTAAAAGGACAACTGGCAGCTCAAAATAATCTAAAAGTTGTGTAAATATTCCAATACCTGAGAAACATTTCACAAACACGTTTTTAGTAGGTACCGTACCAAAAGCAAACCATAACAATCAGTGTGAAGTAACGATTACGCAGTAGAGGGATGGAAGCTTTCTGAAGCTCCTCAGGAGGTCTCAGTTTTCTACTTTATGTTCATTATTCTACTCTATTCAACTGTTTGGACTCCTTTTCTCTCGTTATCATTTGGTAGGACCGTAGTTCATTGGCTTAAGCAGTTTTTAACCAACGGGCCATACATCTAAAACTTCTAGAGAGATTTGGGTAACCAGACAATAGTATCAGCCCTCCTCACATAATAGGTATGACTCACTATCCAAAGAAAAAACCTGCACACAATTGCTTATATTATTTCGTAAAAGATAGACAACTGTAACAAAGAAATTTAGTCATTACTGATTCCAACCTAGAATTTTATTGGTTACGGTAAGATTGATCTATTCAAATAGTATGTGCTCTAAACCCGAAATAGCGTTATCATCTAACACAGAATTTAACCAGAATTCTTGAAAATCTATTAAGCTATGCTATTCAGGATAGACTGAAAAGTGACTGAAAGTTAGTCAAAATAAGACTATTTGGCATACATGACTTATTAGGAAGCTCACTTTTCGTGTAAGTGGCAACAATTATTTCGTCCTTCAAATCGACAAGCTGTCCAGTTCTAACATATGTGGCAGGCATTCACGTGTTCAGACTTTGTTTCTCACGTGCTTAGAGGTCAAAAGGGTTCTTCCAAAACACCCTAAAATTGAAATGACTTTAAATGACTCAGAAGAATTTGAGTCACGTGCATATAATTAGGGATAAGTAAAGACTTGAACTGAATCCTTCTGAGGTATGACCGAATACTGCTAAATTATTGTATTATTCCGTTCAAATATGCCTTGCATCCCAACTACCACTACATTTCAGGGAAACAGAGGACCTCCTGAGGAAAATTTCACCTTTTGAGAATGCTACTTCTCTACAGAATTCTCAAAAATACATGGATCGTAACAAGCATAACCAAAATGCTAGACTAATAACTGATTAATAAAACTGGAGAACAAAACGTTCAGGAATACGAGAAAAAAGAAACAATCACCCAAGATAGTCAGAGTTTTGAATACTTGTTGCATCTCAAAGATGGCCTTATCTGTTAATCTAAACTGAAAACAATCATTTAGTTGAATGTGGGTATGACAAGAAGAGATGAGGAGTCCAAGTCACATCCACATCCTTTCAAGAATTGAGACGGAGACTAGTTAACAGTGTAGAGTTTCAGTATATATTTTGAGAATAACATCTAATTTTTGATAATGAACAAGTACAGATTTTTTTGGTAAGTCAAAGATTACTCCGAACAAGTTACTCTGAAATAATCGATCGAAAACCGATTAGATATGACCACTGTTTTCAAATACCTGCTAAAAAGACGCACTGCATCAATTAACATAACCTTATCTCTCGACACACCTCCTGACTTCCTTCTAAACGTACACTACAATGGTGGTCTTCTCCATTTGAAAATGGTTATAAATGCCTACCATAAAATACCGGTTCAACGGCATTTTTTTCAGAAAAAACACTGTAGTTTACTCAGAAATCAAATGATCTCTTTCTATGGCTATTTGAAATTTAAAACTTTTATTCACGCGGGAAACATTCTACTAAAAATCTACGGTCAGTAAGAGTCAAAAAGCTAAAGGGGTTAGTTTGACTTTTATTTTAGACTGTTTTAGGTAAAATCAAAAGGAAAACAAACCATTAAGTCCCTTTCCTTGCTGATACTCACTAGTGAAATATATTTAAACCTTTGAGGCAAGTTGTACTCTGAAAGATGTTAGCTGGATGGAGGCAATCAGCAGGAAACCCTGGACATAAGTTCCAGGCTTTTCGGAACTCGTCAGCAAGGTGCATCTGCAACCTCCAAGAAACTCATGTCCCGCCTGAGATTGAATTGCAATGGTCGATGGAATTCGCTCACCACTTAGGACTAGACAACATGAAGTTAATTACCCTCTAGGGAACAATCAATGTAAGCTGTACTCCATGAAGAATTTAAACTTCGGTTTTTGAGCTATAAATGTGCTTTCGTCTTGGCTGGATAGTTTGCTAGAATTGATTTTGTGGTTTGCAGACATTTCAATGCTAAATTGAATTTGATTCTCAATGATTTTCACAGAACCGACGTTTATAAGCTTAAGATTGAGGCAATTTCCAACAAATACTAAAGATTGAAAAATAAACTACACTCGATGTATGTAAACGAACCTCAAAATCCGTTTGAAAAGTGAGGGTTAGGTGATGACGCCAAAGTAAGTAGAAGCTTCGATTAGGGAAGCAAGTGTTATAAATGAACTTCAGACTGAACTTATTCACAAAGAGACTGAGTTAACCACCAGAAAGTTAACAGCTGGCTGTTTCATAAATCAGTACAGTCATATAAACTAAACATAACCAATAAAAGGTAGGTAAATAACGCCGCATATTTCAGATTTTTTGTAGGTTAGGTGACTCTCTATCACTAAGTGACAGTGAGACGCTTTATGTCATATTAACTTTTCCCAAAAATTAAGATCAATTTTCGGAGGAAAGTACTCAGATAAGTTATTTCCGTTTGCTGAAAACTTATAATGTTGAATAAACACTGGTTCATCGAATTTCGCTTATCTAATCAAAGATTTCGATAATTATTCTCAAGAATTTAACCAAGTGGTATTATGAGTAATTAGTTGTATTACGAAACAACGAATCACCATAGAAGAGAAGATTTATAGATGAGGATGAGAATGAAAGTTGCTTGATATCTTCTCGGTTTAGATGTCGCATCATAAACGTTGTCTAATTAGACTCAGTTAGTTAATCACTTTATGTGGAAGTAAGTACTTGTGAATTTACCTAATCTGATGATGAAACATCACTAGTCATAAATCGAAACTATCTGAAAGACAAAAGAGTATCGAGTAAATAATTCTTATTGACACTTCAGCTTAAGGGAGTGACTTTGAAGTAACAAATTACAAAATCAGCTGCTGGCATATCTTCATTCGGGTGCGCTTGAAAGCATCAGTGATGAATTATCATATTTTTTCTTAGCATAACTTGGATGTTTCAGTGGAAATCCAGTCGACATCAAGAATGGATAGTTTAGATGAAGAAATTCAACAGCACATTTGTAGCTCTCTGAATCCCTCATCTTTTGTAAGGGATATTATCAGTACAAAGCAGGTTGATCTTACTCGTGTAACTTTACCATCCTGGTCAGTTGATTATAGATAGGAAACGGGCAGTGAAACTGAAATCTGTATTACAGCAGGACTCGAACTGGCGGCTTTCAGGCGTAGCGGGTTTCTAGCTCAAGAACAAAATATTGTCCAGTGGTTAAATTACTTCGATTTGTTTAGTAAAAGGTTTTCATCAGTATGCATTGTCAGATAATATATCTTTTTCTCTGACAGTAAACTTAAAAATGTTTCCTTGCTATTAATAATATCATGTTAAAGGGACATTTTAATGCCAATAAACCTCGTGTTTACTTTTATAGTTGGCTTCTTTCCAAAAGAAATGAACAAACGCACGAAATTCATTTGAAAGTTGGTCGTAAGTTATTGACGATTTTATAATCTAGTGAACATATATTTAAAAATGAGTGTTGAAAATTGTACATATGAAATTTTGAGGCATATTACCACTAATTTAAAACTTGCTCCATTCAGTACTGTTCTGAAAGTCGCACAGTATCGTGACCTCTTAGACAAAATGTGTCTTTTAAGACAACAGTCGGATAGATGAAAAACTTTGCAAGTGTCCAAAATATCAGTGTGGATCGTGTAGTTTGTGAACGGTTTGTAAATTGACTATCCAGTTTGTGGTGAATCGGTCCATCGAAAGTAACCACCAGCTAAATCTAGTTAATCTACACAATTTGGCTCCATGAGTTTAATTTTTCCGAGTACACTGCTGATGAGCCCGGTCTAAACAGGTGGGAAAGCTGTCTGTTAGTAAGTGGGATCCTCAGATCAGCATGAATAATTTCTCACTACTCATGGCGCTCAATAACACAAAGTTCTGCAAAACAGTTTTTATCACAAAACACGCTATACAGACTACTGACTTCACATATGGATAAAGGTTTTTAAGGTCTGAGATTAAAATGCAGGTAGGAATTATAGGTAATATGGAACAGTCAATCTGACTTTCATATAACGAGTACCATGATCAAGCTATTTTACTCAGCATCAGTCCAACTTGAACAACACAACACGGTCATATTAATTTTTGTGTATGGTTGAATTAACTGTTAAAAAAGGGGAAACATAGTTGACCGTTGTGCTATGGACATAGCTTCTTATTGCAGTGTATGCTTTTTTGCAAACGACACAGTTATAACGTGAAGCTGAAGGTTCTAATAAAAAGTTTTACCTGCTGTTCAAGTATTTAAGTAAATTACTACTGGAGTAACAGGTTAGCACGAAGACCTGTTTAAGGTTGTTGAGTTTTGTCTACTTTTCGCTTCTGAATGACCATTAGAATTGTATCAAGGCGGTTTTCTTGCAATTAAAAATCCTACAACCTATTGACAATATACTAAAATTCTGCAACAGTATATGAGCTAAAAGTTGTTTTTTAATACGTAGCATCAAATGAAAATGTCAATGACAAAGAGAGCCATTGTCATGTTCATCTGCAATATATGTATAATAGTGACTCAAATACTTGGAGATATAATAGGAAGACCTAAACTTGAAAAACAACTACATATCTATGCTTTCAGTATAGTCAGGAATTCGCTAACATTATTTGATGTCAATAAAGGTGAAAAACTGTAAGTCAGCCATGGACGTTAGAATCATACGAGGAGCGTGTTTCAGGGCTGTAGGTATACCTAGATTATGGCGTTTCAAAAAAAACAAAGTTCAGACCCATAATTTCCCATTGATAACTCTTAGCCATGCAGATGAACGACAGCTAGGCAAAATTCACATTAGTTGAAGTTATTTTGAGATCTGGCTAGAATTTGCGTTTCATAGACCAACTCCAAGACTGTTGGTTGCTGATTCGCAACCTAAGATAATTCAGGTTTCGGTCAACTTCAACCTTTATCCAAATTTATTGTAAATTCTGAATACATAAATGAGTAGCTCTGTTACTGAATTAAAAATAATTGTTCTTCTTAAATGCACTCACTGACCAGTCTTGGAATTTAGTCAATAAGTGGAATTACTATAACCTAATGAATGTTTTCAATAGTTAAGCTACAAAAATATTTAACTATATACAGTTGACTTATTTATCTCTTCTTTTTTGTAAAGGCGATTAATATTACAAGATTGAGTGGTTTTTAGAGAAGTGACTAACATGAAGATTGTACTCATGAGGACTGACACTAAACAGGAAGTTATTCGAGGCTAAGGAATACTGAGAAACATGTTCACCACAGTATAGAGCCTTTGTGTTCAATGTTTTCTAGAACGGGGATGAGTATTCATCAATGATAATAGATGGTACTTGCGATACACTGTGAATCCATGAAGTTGGAGAATACCAACCAGTGAATTTCCTTCTAAAGAAAGAATGATAACAATAGTGTTGTACAAATTTTGGTCAAGTTCTCATCATTCTGCTCCGTCTTAAATTTCAGAATGATGTAAACAAATGGTAACCATCTTATTTTCAGATACTAGAAATACAACTCAAAGGTACTTGCCACCAAGATAATATTTATGCCTATTCGTATAACTTCGCCTTAATTACAGAAATACACTCTATGGAATCATATGCAGAAAAACGCTGGAAAGAGGTAGAATCTGGTGAATCTAATCAGTTAGATAATCAAGCTAAAGGTAAGCTTTAAAAAAATTAAAATAAAAGGGAATCCATGCTATTGTTAACAAAGCCTTTTATAAGAAAAAAAAAGTAGCAGGTTGAAGAACTTAGGAAATATTTAGAGTTTTAAATAGTTGTTTTTATCTTACTTTAAGATATCTGGACAATGACCCATCTTGACGTCATTCCAGTTCTTTAACTGGTATTTGCTAGCAAAGAGAAACCTCTTAAAAAACAGTAATTTCGTCAAAGCTATCAAACGACTTTTCATCGACTTGTCAGTAATAAATCAATGATTCTATTAGGTAGTGCTTAGCAGCACAAATGTTTCGCTCCACTTAGAACACGTCAGATAGGCTTACTAATAATCGTTTTCGCAAGCGTATACAGAAATAAAGTATGGTATAAAGTATTTAATAAATGATACAATAGAAATAATTGAGCCGTTGTAAACATAACTTTTAGTCGACAAAATTATTCATGAAAAGTGACTAACGTTAAAGTGGCTTGATAAACAGGCTAATCATTCAGAATACAACTATTGAGTATTCAAGGTTCAAACAAGCGTAAGCCAAATGGTATAAAGAGCAATAGTATCAAGTCAGTGTTCGACGAGTTACACATACATAATGGAGAAGAAAATTTAGTCTTCAGTAATTTTCAAATTTCGTTAAAACAATAAAGTCGAAGTCCATCTTAAAAGATGTCAGTTCAGAGAACACTTCGACTGGGTTTAGTTTAATGATATTTTTTCACGGCAAATGATGACAGTCCTTGTCAATAATCAACTCGCTTTATTGCCAAAACATGAATTCTGAATTTAACTTCTCGACGCATACTTTATTTCACTGAATTCGATTCATTTTCATTATTAAAACAAATCTCTTACTAAATTATGTTACAAATCTTGCTATGACTGAGCCCAAGGCATTACACAATGATTGATCACTGAAGAACAAACAATCTCACTTTGTCAAGTCCTGATTGCTGACCAAATCCTAGCCGTCATTCTGCAATGTGGTCCACAGGCTAGTTGAATCAATATCGCGATGAACTTTGATGAATGTTAGTTGGATGGAGGCAATCAGCAGGAAACCCTGGACATAAGTTCCAGGCTTTTCGGAACTCGTCAGCAAGGTGCATCTGCAACCTCCAAGAAACTCATGTCCCGACTCACCCGACTCACCCAGTGCTACAGTCAGTGAACTTACTACTGACCAACTAGGCCAGAGACTGACATATTCTAGGACTGGATTAGACATATTATTGGTCACTAGAGGGTAACCGACTCCATGTTGTCTAGCCTGAGTGATGATAGAATTCTATTGATCATTTTGCAGTGTGGTTACCAAGGTATTATATTTGCTCGAAATTTGAGATTTTATCCTCAAGGATAGTGCAAATATGCAAAACGAAGATAAGCTGTGGATAGCTTATTCAGTAAAGCAACTTGGTTACCAAATATGCTCACTAAGCAATTACTTACGATTGACATTTTTATCTTACGAATATTAGAAAAAGGGTTGGCACTATAATAACTCGCACATTAGTTAGTAGCTACTTTATTTATCTCATAATCAGCACAGAGAAGTACAGCAAGGAACCAAATATAGGTGGAAATCCTATCAATCACTGGAATAATCAATTAGATTTCAATATTCCATCTGGAAAGGTAGTGTTTTCATCGAATAAAAAAACCTACATTGGTTATTTCAGTGGTTGCTACGATGATCTTCAGAATCACTCCTGGTTTTCTAGAATTATTCATTTCTAAAGCGGATTCGTCATATTTCAGAAAATAGTTCAAAATATTCTAAAGTCCGGTAGCGAATAAAGTATGTTTAGTTCTCATTATTTCCCTCCTGTTTCTAAATACAAGCTTAAAAATTGAGATGTTTAGTTGCAAACACCCTAAACCTTTGTAAATGCTAATCTTACGACTTTCTAATCATGACAGCAAATAAAAATGGATATATATACAGGAAATATCTGTATTTTTCACAAATATGTTTGACATCATCAGGAATTCAGACTACGCATATCTACTGTATGCAACAAAAATGCATTATTTACAGAAGCATCTACACCACTGATTTCAGAAACGAGGTATTAAGGAACATGTGTATTTTATGCAGAAACGGCAACATGTGCCAGAATAACACATAGCTCGCCCCCAGATTTGAATGAGCCAATGTTTAATGATGGATAATGGCTAGCAGCAAAATCCAGCACGCATGTTTCGTCTCATTTAGAACTCTTCATCTTGATATGCCTGTCTCAGTGAGTGACTTTGTTTCCGCCAAGGACAAATCGCTTCAAATGCCAGAGTGTTATCCACAAGGCCACCGACTCACGATAGCCTCTCCTTATACGACAATGTTATAGTTTGTGAATCACCCTCGCTGATTGGACCGAATTAATCGATCACCTGTATACGAGCTGCTGTGTGGATGCCCCAATATTGCCGGTATTTTCAAACTTAATATTGACCATAGATTAACATCACTCATTGTGAGGCAGCCATATCCACCTTACGAGTCCTAGACAGGACGAAACGAGCATCCTGGATTCCACTGCTAGTTATTATCCATGATTAATATAAAATCTAAAAACACCGGCGGTATTGAGGCATCCGAACAGGATTCCATATGTCAATAATATCCAACACATTCGGTCCAGTCAACGACGGCGATTCAAAAGCTATAACATCAAAGAGCTGATGTTTATCTGAAGAAACAGATTTTGTCAAATTTTCTCTAATCGACATTCACCTATAAATAGACAGTCTCTTGGTCGTAGCCTTTAACCAGGGTTTCGTGCTTTTTGTTGATTGTCTCCAAATAAACCAACAAGGTGATTGTTGTACTGAACAACAGTGAAATGTAAAGTTAGTTTTTACATATGTGATTAACATAAGCGGCTCATTTAGTTGAGTACAACCTATTTCTATGTGGTGATCGCCAACGGTGTCATATTGTTAGGAAAATAGGAAATATATGATTCAGAAAATTATATTATACTGAATATATTTATACTGGGTGATGAGTGAGGGTGAAATGAAAATCTGGACGGCGACTGGATTCGAACCAGTGACCACCGGGCTTTTGGCCCGATGATCTACTAAGTTACGAGACCCAACTGCTGACCAGGTTTTTATTTCGCTCCAATCACCAAGGTTTTTGCCAGTCTACCATGTGAATTCGTGATGCGTTACTACCTCCTGATCCTACTCACACTGGCCGCCCAGTCAGGAGTTATCATCCTAATCCAAATCGAACTGAATTAGAGAGGGGGAGCATCATATTGATTATCATTTTGAATATCTAAGATGGCCATGGTTTGCCAGAATAGTATTTGTAGCTCAGTTGGTAGAGCACCAGGCTGGAAACCCGGTGGTTGCTGGTTCATATCAGGCAGTGGTCTAAATTTTCATTTCACATTCAAGCATACCCCAGTATAAATGCTAGTCTACCAAACCACAGCCATCTTAGATAGTATCTTATATGTTGAAGAGGCTTTTGATAAGACAATAGTTCGATAGCAACCTTTGTCATCCCAGTTTTATAATTATTTATGAAAAATCTTATTCCCACGATTCAGAAAATACAATTAGAATTCGTATGTAACAACCTACTGGAAAACGAACACCCAACTAGATTTACCGATTCTACCATGAAAGAAAGGATACAAATACAATAATAATTCACCGTCTCAAAAAACTCCTCCAAAAAAATCTAGAATTTAAAAGCAACATCCCAGCTGAAATCCTCAAGAATCATCTCTCACGGTGTTTGACCCAGCTAGCTTGAGAAGCACATTTTTCAGCAGATAATCAATCCATCGGTGCAGTGAGGACAAAATATCACTTTTGGTTGCTACAGTGGGCATCTATCAATTTGTTTCCTCCCGTGGAGTAAGGTACATTGACCATACAACAGAACCAAATCCATAAACGTAGTTTAGATCATTGTCCGGTTTGATTTTTCAAAAGACAGAGAAGAAAAATCAACCATTTTATCTTCGAATACCTAATCGTCTCCGGATCTCTGACCACTCCCAGTAGTTCTTCCAAAGTTATTTACAAAGAACACCCCAGCAATTCCAAACGACTTCGGTGAAGTCGTCAAGAATTAAGCTTCAATATGAACTCAAAAAGTACTCAGATATCACTAGGACTGTCGATTTGCCTATAACAATTGTCTATACATTTCAACAGACTTAGAACGGCATATGGACAGACAAAACACACTACACTTACGAACAAGAAAGCCACATGAAGATACACAGGAGAATATAACAAGAGAGTAAACATAAAAGGAAGGGTAACATAAGATGTCCTTACTTTTACATAACTGTTCAAAAACAGCAAAAACAAGAAAACCAGAACACCATAAGCAATGATTTCGATTCCTAGTCATTTCAGGTAGCATTTCAAGCCATCTAGTCATGTGATTTTACGGTCATCAGTCTGAGAGTTGTGATTCATCAACAGGCACTAACTCCGCACAGGTATTCCTCAACCTATAGTACCATAACATCCGGCCAGCAGCCTGTTGTCTTTTTTCACTCTGAAAGCTTAACAGTGGATGGTACAGAAGCCATTAGCACAATATAAGTGAGACATGTCTAAGCCATCATGTCTTTGAAATCAGTCCACTAGTTAAGGCTTATTGTTCATGCCACATGGCCTTCAACTAGTGGATTTTGAGCGTGAACATCACCACAACAACCAAGTTTGGAGCAGCAAGGTAGCAAAACTCATACTTAGTGATCTAACTAAAGATCATAATTCCCTCCGGATATCAAAATTACCTTCATATTGTTTTCACCGAATACCAGGATTCCTACGAAGACAGCTGTGGTCGGACACAGAGTCATCAGATATCCTTAGCTTAAACAGAGACCAGATCACAAAGGTGTACAGCAAAGCCTTCACTAACGGAAGCATAGTAAGTCGGACCTTTGTGTTTGTGCTGACTTAAAAGCTTAGAGATGACTCAGATTGGTGGGTAGCGCTGCTGTAGCCCTTTATAATGTTGCAAAATTCTCATTTGTATAGTATTTGAAAGAAACCTTTTTATACAGCTTACTAAAATTGGTGTAAGTTGGTAAAACCAGGTGTTTTTGTTTGGAGAGATCAAGAAAAAATAGTTTAACGAATACAAAAATTCATTACATAATATCCATACGTTTAACCTGAGTAGTATGGTTTCTGTCGAGAATTTTACATTTGCAAAATGTGAGCTTGATTGACAACTTAAATTGCAATAAACTACATCAAAAAACAGATGAATTATCATAAATTTACACGAGATAAAGTCCCCAACGTACTTCTCAGCACTGAACACCACCACTTGAAGTGATGGCCAGGATGAAATGTTGAACAGTTGCCTCGTAGATTATGTACTGAACTTCGCACAATACGACCTATCCCTCACTTTCATCATCTCCAGAAGCGGCAGCTGCACAGTCGACCGTTAGAAATATCATCTGCCCAGAATAAATGGGTCGCAGGTACTGAATTATATGACTCTATGCAACCATAAAAAAATTAGACTGAAAAAATCCCATCTTTTAGCACCTATCTTTATATAGAATGACAGACTTAAAAGAGGTTCCTTGAAAGCTGAATGACTAATCCCATAACCGTTCTTCAGAGTTAACATTCGAAATTAATACTAATACATATTCTAGGTAAATTGATTTCAGTTTGCAAATAGTAAAGCCTAATTGAGCAAAACTAACGATTCTTCTTGTTTTATTTATGTAACAGAAGAAACCAAAACACTGGAAAATGACCAACCAGTTAAAACTGAAACAATATCACGAGATGAAGCTATGAAACTAGAGCATAATGATAACCGTAAGTTAAATGCACAACAAAGATCAGAGCGTATATTATACAACTCAGTAACTTCTATTTCTACAAGGTCAAAACTGGTCAAAATAAGATTCCTAGAAGAACTATGGTGAAGTTGACTTTCACGTTGGCGTTATTTCTTTGATGGTGTCCATTACGACAGTTGCCACCTACAGTTGTAGGGATCACATATTGCAACAAGCTATGTTGGCTTAGATGCTCGTCACCTGACGGTCTAGTATACCAGAAAGGTATGCTGGATACAGGAAAGACTACTATCATAAAGTGAACAGCTTACAATACGGTCGGAATTCGAGGGTAAAATGTGACAGAAGCAAAGCAGTTCCCTAAGACAACCAGAAGTCGATACTGCTTCCCCTATCCGGAAAGGTTAGAGAAAGTTCATCAGAAAATACTACACTACTCGCTGACCTGCGGTCTTCCCGTATGGGTTTCTTATAACCCAGGGAAAGAAAAATAAAATATCAATCGAAAACGCATGAAACATGCGTATGTAGTGACTCTCATATAGACATTCCCCGAGCTTTGAGACCACGTAAAATTAATCCCTTCTCACCTTCAGATGACCTGCAGAAATAAAATCGGCGGTGTTAATAGCCAGCGAGTATTAACCACCGGTATGCACTCAGTGGTACACAATACCAAAGCAACAATAGCTTTTCTTACCTATGCACCTTCCTTGGCATCACTTTCTGATACTAATATTAAGCCTCTTACAACTTCTTTACCCTCTAAACGTGTGCCCACTGCTAACGATCCAAACCATCAAAGCATGAATTTTGCCAAAAATAATCAGTCTCACAACATGAGGCAAAACCTTCAGATATGATCATACTAGCGGATGACCTCAACACTTGGGTAGGAAAGTTCAACCAATCGGTAAAACATCTCGGTGTCCGAAGCATCCCATGATGGCGAAAGAAATACGGTAGTCGTTTCCTTTAATTTTATTTCTATAACTACTTGTTACTGGTCAGTATTGACTTAGGGCATAAGGAAAGACACTTTCTCACTTGACATCTGTCGACATAAAATCGATGGTGGGCACAGACAGATATTGCTACCAGCTATCGTTTGAGGATTGTCCCTCCTTCTAGAGTACCTGTCTGAACTCCGATTACATTAGTACATCCATGGGTATATTCATGCCTTCATGGATACCGAAAACAAACATCAGTAAAGTCGCCATGTTATTAGAGTGAGAGAGTAGACATCAATCGTCTACCTAGAAAGAACATGGCTAACCCATTTATCTGAACATGGAAGCGATTCTCGTGTAGGCTAGGCGTGTCCACAAATCCAGTGTGTTGTAGAAACAGCTAAGAAGGCAATGAATAACCTGCACTAAAAGGTTAGCAAAAGCAGGTAAGTTTCTGCAATCTCAACCAAGTTGATCGACTTCACTTTAGTTAACTCCGATCACGGTGAAGAGCAATGGAAACCAAGATATAGACTGACAATAGTCTAGATAATGACCATAAGCAGTAGGGGCGGCGAAAGATATGGAGAATGCATCAGGATTAGGCAATATTTGGGCTTATTACGCGAACAGCCAAAAATATTATTGTCAATGAGATAATCGAAAATAACAGATCTCAGATAACATCTCAGAACTGGAGCATGGAACTTTTGAGGGGTTATTTCGAAGAGCAGTTTATGACCTAAAGCGGCCACGTTTCAGTCGTTCAAAATATAGCACGAGTCTCAATAGGATACAGATATCGGTCTTGGAAGAGGCAAATACCGTTTCAAAATTGAAACGATGCAAAGCAGTAAGACCTGACGGTTTGCCACAAGTTTGTGAGTCTCGAGGTACAAAACCACTGAACAGAGAAACCAGAGAACTAGCTACTTTTTGGAAATAAGAAGCAGTCGCATCAGATTGATCTAGTTAGCTGATAATTGCAGTTTATAGGAAAGAAGTCTGCGTTAAGTAACCACAGGGGAAGTCAAACTGATAAATGCCATATCTAATTTTTTAAGGTTCATAGTTACCCCAACTGCAGCTGGAGAAAACCAAGCAGATTTCATATCAGTATGAAAGTGCATCGATCACGGAATACAAAAATGCCTAATAATACACGGCACTTGCCATGTTTATTGACTTGAAGGTAGAATTCCATCCCACCAACGAAGAAAGGAGTACTGAGCAAGCATTTAATGGTAATCAGGACTGTTTGCTTGAACTCATGCAGTCGTGTACAAATTTACGCAGAGGGTAGGGATAACCAAATATCTTTCAGAGATACGGAATATCCTGATTCCATTCAACTTTGCCACAGAAGTTCACGGATAGACTTACTCTCGGAAAGGTCTCCAGATTAAATGTAATCCAATTGCATCAAAACACTTACAAAGTGCAGTCTTCCAAATGCCTTAAGCAGAAATCTGAGTATGTTTGGGATGTTATGCAACTAAAAATGTCCAGAGCCTCAGGACTGGTCTACACTAACTTCTAATTCAAGCAGTTCAGCAGTAGAGCGCATTAACCACTTCCCTTCTGCGAAAATTTGTACAAGATAGAATGGATCAGATTATGGTGAAATCTCAGCCCGGATACAAAAAGACAAATTATGTCATTTCTGGCACCGGAACGAAATCCAACCAAATATTAAAGGCAGAGGGCACTATGTAGTTGTTCCCTTTGTCCTGCTAGAGTAGAATAAAGGAAGTGGCCAAAGGTTTTAGACCAGAGGCGTCGTCAGAGCATTGTTCGTGTATGGTGAGATCACCGTGTGAGCAATGTAGACATTGAAAGAAGGGTCCCGAAATGGGAAGGTAAGTCAGTCGATAAGGTTGTGAACCATTATCGACGAGCTGCTGTACGGATGTTTGTTTGCTTAAGGTCCTATACCATACCAGAAAGGTCTGTTGTGTACTGATAAGACAGAACTGACGTGGAGGTGCCTGCAAAAATGATTCATAGTTGAACTCAAAAGCGAAAGATCGAAATCTCAAACTTGCCAAAATGTAGTGTGTAATCGACTTCAAACAGATATCCCATAGGCTCTTCGGTCACACAATTAGTTTTCTCTTTCAGGTATAGGAAGAAGAACGAGCCCTCAACTTCCAGCAGTACACAAAACCTAGTCAAACACATCATCTAATCTCTTCGACTCTGTCTTCTCCTTTGCCTTCACCTCCTGACACTAATACTAAGCCTCTTACACCTTCCCCAACCTCTCATACTGTGACCATTGCGAACTATTAATGCCACTGAAACCTTATTCCTAGTCTTCTAAAACTCCGCTATCGATTTCATGTGGGAGCTTCCAATGTCCGAAATGAATGTCAAATTGGACAGCAAACACCGCTCATCAGAACTCTGAAATCTCGAGCCATGAATGTATGCTGCGTCCCTGAGAAACGTGTATATAGTAGTGAATCTTCAAGATTCACCCCAGGCATATCCGGAGACCCACTGGCCAGCTCTCGTGGACTCACCAGTGTAGGCATAGCACTGAGTTGTAGAACAGAGAGTGCACCACGACATTGCTCACATGGTGGTCACACCAAACGCGAACAATGCTACGAAGACATATCTCATCGAAAACTTGTAACCACTTCATATGTTCTACTTGCAGCTGCCATGTCTCAGCCGTATAACAGGACAGGACGGAATGCAACACAGTATACTCGTCCTTTGATAGGTAGTCGGATATCTCGCCAGTTGGCCCTCCAGATGTCACAAGTTGGCAAAAGCCAAATGGGCTTTTTGTATCCGAGCTAAGATTCCGTTAACCACCAACCCGTTAGGACTGATGCATCTCTCCAAGTAAGCAAAGTGGTGGACACATTCCACTACTTCACTCCCTATCATTAAATTGAAATTACTTGCAGCAGACAGGTGCGAAACGCATGCCAAATATACTCAGATTTCTGCTCAACGCGTTCACGAGATTCTGAATTTTGTCAGCGTCTTGACCTAGCAGGAGAATATCGTCGGCAAACTCCAAGTAAGCGAGATGACCTCCAGGCAGTTAACAAACCCCTGTGAATTCACATATGCCTAAGGTTATGTTCATTAGTGCATCTATGATTGAGTTAAAGAGGAACGGCGACAATAGACATCCCTGGTGGACGCCACTAGTTGTCGGCAATTCACATGACAACTCTACTTATGTCGTCACACGACCGTATGAGTTAGAGTAGAGCTTTCATTAGCGTAATGTACTTTCTCGGTCAGACACTGCCACAACACTTCACGGTGGACAGAGTTAAGTGGCGCCTTCAAGTCAGCGAGTATTGCAAGCGTCAGCTACCAGTGTTAAAGAGCCTGTCAAATAATGAAAACATGATCGATGTCTCCTCGCCTAGATCTGAAACCTACATGGTTTCCCCGAGTTTGCTATTCTCGAGCTCCAGTTAGGTGTCGGATAACTATGAACCCTAGAATCATGATATAAGTCAAACTAATTCCCCTTTATTTGTCATAAAAAGATTTCTCCTCCTTCTAGTAGGCTGAAATGATCAGTGAAGTACACGAGTCTGACGACACTACTTCTCATTCGCATACACTACATAGTATCTCAGTCACTTGAATCGCCGATTTCCTATCTTTATCACTAAAAACTTCAGGTGGCAAACTGTCAGGTCATGCTGCTTAGTACCATTTCAGGTTCGATGCAATCTTCTCAACTTCAAGGAGAATTAGAGAACCAATATCTTCATCCCATTCAGGTTTACGCTGAATGTGGGGCAACCGAAGCTTTGCTAAGACCCAGTTAAACTGTGCTTCAAAGTGTTCCTCCTAATTTTCTAGCAACCTGTCGTGAGAGGTTACCAAGGGCCCATCTTTTACGGTTATCCTCTCACTAATTCTGTCCTTCTTCTTCTTCATGTCAGTATCCCCAATAAGTTTAGAATACTGTCGAGAGTCACATAATGTTGATACCTTCTCCATCTCTCTCGCTCTGGCTAATTACTACAACTCGCAACTATTGGGAAGACTCTTAGTCGACTTATGTTCAAGTTGCTTCCGC